CCGGCGGCCCAACGCCGACCGGAAGGTGTTGCGACACTGGAAGACCGATCTTCACCGATCCGTTGACGGGTCAGACCGTCTGTTCCTGTCAATACGACCTTCTCGGCGGTTACCAACGACTCGGAGGTTTACCGACGGCAGCGTTGTCCATGTACAGCGCACCTTACGCGGCTGCGGCCGCGGCCGCGGCCTCCGAAGGCATGGCGGCGTACTTTCCGAGCCTCGGTGCGGAACAGGCACCCTTCTACACGCCCACGGTAAGTTTCGATCCAATATTTCATAAAATTATTTTTATCGAACATAGCGTTTGCGAAATTGACTCGGACGATCGCTCCTTGCTTTGCGATTAAACAATTTTGAGAACCGTGAAGCGTTGTAGATTTGAAATTAAATATAGTGCCTCGATTAAACCGTTATGCTCTCGGGTGATCGCGAACGGGGTCGAGATCGAGAGGTAGGCGACGATTGCAATGATAACAGTGTGACAGCTAGTGTCACGTACTCGCGCTTTTGATACGTGGCTGTTTTTACGTCAGCATTCTTCACCTTATTTGTGCCTGACTTATCGATAATTGCAGTTCGGAATTCTGGTAATACATTCATTGACATGTAGTTGTCTTCATGAATGTGGAAAGAAGCGGAAAGAATTGCGAACTGAAATTTTTTAATCGAAATAGGCGTTGCACAACGTACGGCCTAACTTAACGCGTAAGAGACAGTTTTAAATTGCGGTTTATCTCATCTGCGATCGGAGTAATTATTTATTATATCACGACACTTTCTCGTAACGATTCAATCGCGAAAGTACATAAATTTCGCGCGCTAAATCGCGCATATCCGCTATTAAAATACCGTTCGCACGAACCGACCGGTTATATCGAATCGCGAAGAGCTGCATCGGTGGATAAGGAAACGCATCGACTGTCCAACGTACTCCAGGTCGCGTTCTATGTCGGATATCGCAAATTTTTCCCTCGTCCTTACCAGAAAAGACTGGCCACGTTCAATAGCTTTGTACAATATAATCGAGATGTTATCGCGGTGAAAGATCCAGGATGGACAGTGATGTTAATATACGAGAGAAGAGAGAATAAGAAAGTTCAGGCTCTCGCATCGATAGAGAAAGAGAGAGGGTTATCGGACCACACACAAAGCGGGTACACGAAGAAAATAGCCGCAAAGCGTAAATTTATGAATCCGTTCTGCCGTAACAGTGGGACACTGTCGTGTTCGAGCGGTCGCCGAGGCTGGCCTGTTATCGTCGCTCTTTATGATCGAGCTTAAGAAGCGAGTATAGAGTGGCCTCCTCGTAACCAGGCAGCCGATTGAGTACACAGGTTGTGTGTGGTATCACCGTGTGATACCATTGTACCTGATGTACGTGGAGTATCGGGCTTTTGCTCCTTTCACTGCGCATGACGTATATAAACAATGTCGAAAATCGACGATTAACATGTTGCATTCGATTAACTTATTCTGAATGAATTCTAATTTTACTCGAATGTATGCGGATAAATTTACTTATGTTACGTAAGCGAATCTGTACGACTACGCGTCGAATTACTTCGAATTTAAGTCGAATAAAATATAGCTTCGAAGAGCTCTAATCTCGCTAAGTTACTTATCAGTTATTGTTGCTCGAAGTATCTGTATCCTATGGCGATCAAAATAGTCGAGGGTTTCCCCATTTAATCCAAATCGAATTCACTCGAATTTACCATCCGCTATTTTGGAGTACTAATTACAGTTGGACGCGCGATGACTACGCCATTCGAACACGGTGTATAATTAATGCGGTTAATGCAAGACTAATGCATATAGAACAAGGGAACAAAGTATAGAGCGGGTCACGAGCGCGAGGGGAACGGTACTGCTACGTTCTATGGTTCTATTATTCCACCGGTTGATGGTATAGTTTAAATGCAGCCGGTATGGAGACGAACCGCGCGGGGTTACTTTCGGCCACATCGATTCTAATTATTGTTATCGCCGCTCTGCCAGCTATTTTTCTCATTATCGTCGATGAATTGCTGATAATCCCGGCCGACCGAACGACGCCAATTAATCGTCGCGTCATTCTAAAAATGAATATTTCCGTCGTTTTATAGCGTCGGCCAGAGATTGCCGCTGCTCGAAAAGGCCCTTTTTTCTCGGTTGTTTTTTGTAGATCGAATAACGGCGATACGCGACGGGCTAATTAAAAATTTCGAGAACGAAACAAGAGCGATTCGTGACACACGCGATGGATTTTCGCTTCTGCCGAAGACGACGATGAATCCGTACCGGAAGATAGTGTCACGGTTTTGTTCGTTTTGCGATCACAGAACTCTGCTCCAGTTAAAATGACCGTTGCCGGCTAATCGTGCATCAAGGAATTCGTCTTTTTCCATGTACGCGACGCATTAATTACTCATGCGAGGCGTTGGCCGCGTTATTAACAAGTATAATTGCTTCGCTTTTGCAGGCTGCTGGCCTCGATCTGAAGGAAAATCTTGGCGCAGGAGCCGCGGCAGCATGGCCTTATCCATCCGTCTACCATCCTTACGACGCCGCTTTTGCCAGCTATCCCTTCAATGGGTGAGTTCTTAAATCACTTTTCTAATTTTTCTGCGATTCTTTCTACTAGATTTTCATCAAACTTAAGCGGCATAATTAGCTCGATCGCCGCATAGATTATTCCGAATGCCAGGCGAGTAAAATCCAACAGTCGAGTCTTTTAATAAAAAGCTATCATATTTTGTTAAAATAATATTCATTGAATGGGATCAAATTTATAAAAAAAAAGTGAAAAATTCGATTTACTACGATGTTTCCATGTGAAGAAGTTAACATTAGAACTACCAACCAGTCAAAATAACTACTTTCAGATTTCTCATTTTATATTATAAAATTTTATTGTCATGATTTTATAGAAATGTCTGTCATATTTTGTTAAGGTAAAAACTAGTTCTATATGTTACTTGATGCTTTAGTATTTATTTATTTCCCTTTTCATTCTTCGATAAACGAGCATTTAATGTCGGTTCTAGTGTTAAACAATAAGTAGAATTCCGTAGCGGTATCGATTGCATCTGCTTCACTTTGCATCGAATAGTTCGCTACAGATTCACGAAGCATATTAGCCAGTTAAAAGAGATACACTCGATACCTCCTCTAAAGCCAAAATTACACACGTGTCTCTCCGAACAATTAAGGGGCTCAATTTTATGGACAATTCCGAAAGAAATACTACGTATTTAAAGTACCGACTGTATTTTATGCCCGATTCGGAGCTATTCCGAAGCACCTTATAAACCTCTTCGAGCGATAAACTCGCTCAGCCGCGTATATGATCCTCGAAATTACTTTGTGCCGTGTACTCAGCCGTTCGAATAGGAAATCTCGTAATTATCTCGAGTAGCAAGTCGTAAAAATTGTACATTATATCGATACATTGTTAACTCGATTTCTAGAAAAATTCGAGTATAACCTCTGACCCGACGCTTTGGATAATAGAAATTGCACATAAATTATGGTAGCTCTTTCGCGTAAATATGAAAATGAGGACTACGTTTCAGAAAGTACCTTTCCAACCGTGAGTACAATTAGTCATCGTATCGCTTGGAAAAATTTTCTCTCACGCAGTTTGGCGAATTATCTGCATCGAGAGTAGCACGTGTCGTGCATCTACGCTCCCGTTTTCACGAAAGCGAATAGAATTAGAGTTCCCCTTTCGACTCGCTTCTCTCCGCTTTGCGCCTCCTCTCGATGGTCAATCTGCCCTCTTCGCGCACGGCCCGATAACGCTCCGGAGAAACACATAAACATTCCAATAAATTAGCGCTCCGTTGACCCGGGACTGTCGCCTTGGGCGTTTTTATTCTCGCGCTGCTCGCTCGAATCGGTCAACGCGTGTCACGATGCGACCGGTGAAAGGTCTCGCCCGTTTTGATAAATCGAAATCGTATATCGACCGCGTCGTTTCTCGAGATTACGAATTCTGGAGTACTGGTCTCCGATGCCGTTCGAAGATGAAGCGCCCTCGAGTTCGAAAGCGCACGATAATTAGTCACCCTATCTGTCATCTCCCAGCAACCGTTCGATAGATTTTTCAATTTTTCCTCCTTTTTTTTTCTTTTACTTCGTCGTTATCGTCGTGTCTCCGGGGTTCGACGCCACGTCCAGGGACGCCGAATCGACGCCTCCAACGATTTGTTAGCACGCTTTTACGAGTTGCTAATGGATCGATGATTATAAACAATTAGGAAACGGGGGAGTCAAAACCTTGATACATGCTAATTATTGGGGATCTTAATTATTGATGCGGACTTAATAAAATTAAATAGTTGTCTCGAAGATTAAATTCGTCGCGATTTTTTTGTGAGTAAATTAAAGTGTACACAGATATCTTTGTATTATAATTAAATTGAATAAATCGAAGACCACTCTTGGGTATTTGATTAAATTTTTTCCTTGTACTACAGCGACAAGCTATGTTCGTGACACATTCACAAGTAGATCTCTTATACGTATGGTAGACATCTTTTATACTTTTCATTACTCTTGAATTTTTAGTTCTAATTTGCATAGTCAGATTAAAAAATCCCCATAGAATTTTGACTTTCTATCCGTCTTCACATTGCAATAAATAATCTGTCACGTTCACCTGCTGAAATCGTGGTGAAATTCCTACTATAACGCTGCACAAAAACAATATTATTTATGTTTCCCCAGTTACGATACACTCGCTGCAATCGAGTACAAAATATTCGAAAACACGACGATAATGATTGATTCCCATAAATGTCATTCTCGTAGTAGCTGCTTCTTTTAGGAAAACGATACCGACGGCTATAAACTCGTAATCAGAATTCGCGAATTTGTAAACATGTTGCGATCGTGGAACGGTAAATCTGTCGGTGGATGCATCGATTTTCTCGAAATGCTTTTGTTATCTGGTCCGTCGAAACGGGACCCGTGGTCACGTACCCATAGTGACGGCGGTGGTCGAGCCGACGACTGGTCGGTGTCACCTCGTGGAATCTATACTGCCGCGTGACGCACTTCCGGCAAAGACTGCTTCGTATGCAAGGAAGCGATCGGGTACTACAGCTTGCTTAGCATCCATTCGGTCTAGTCGGTTCGCGCACCGGGTCTTCCTTTACGGAGACCTACCGCCGGTCCACACCGGAACCGAACACCTCCTCTACGCGATAACAATTACCGGAAGATCCGGGATGCACCTGCGGCCCTTCAGATACCACGGTGTTCTTTCGTTCACCGACTTAACATATTCTCTTTCTACCTACGCTTTATTTTCGATGCAATTTTTCTCAGTTAAGACGGGAACATCTTAACTTCAAGAATGCACGTGTGTGCATTTTCGAGTCTATTTTTAATTCAACATCCATGATCACCATGATGTAATTTCTTTTTATATGAGATCCTTGAAGATTCTTAAGTATTAATAGCTGTGCTAAGGAATTGTATTATATCATCGATGTTTTACAGAAACTTGAAACGGATTTCTGAAGAAACCTTTCATTCGACTAATGTAACACGTATCGACTGCTCTGAAGAACAGCGGCGGTAATAAATTGAAATTTCGATGAAAGTAATAAACTTAACACCTAGTATCGTTAATAATCTGCACCATACGTATTCTTGTGCACCTGTTCGCACTCTCTCGCGAACGAATTAAGATTCGCGGACCGTCGCGACGTCCTTAAACGCGCTCGAGCCTCGGAGCGCGTGCCGACACATCGGTCGTTGTACGGACACACTTAATAATACGTGTCGTCGATCGTGAGGAGAGGAGAGGAGGCGCAAAAGGGGCGAGAATCGAAGCCGGACACAACAGTCAGTCAGCTACGTAAACGGTCTCCTGTTCGTACAAGCGACGACTGCGATACACACACCGGGCCGCTTGTTTCTTATTGTTTACCCTATATGTCCCCGGAAGCAGGGCCAATCCGCCGGAAAGACGAGACCGTTAACCCGCACGATCCCGAGACCTCGCGGCCGTGCATGCCAACTCTGCATTATTGGCTTTTTGTATGCTTATGTCAAACGACCGCCGCTCACGCTCTACCATAATACTTCTCTTGGATCCTTGGGCACACACACGCTTCGTCGTCGATTTTCAGCGACGCTATCGTTGCTTTCGGATCTATCTGTCAGACCCTCGTCCGCTTTTCTTCCGTAGAATTAATGCGTGCTCGACCTTCGTCGTCAAATCTCATCGTTCGCGAACTTCGAGAGAAGCGGAATAGAGACGTTCGAGGGTGACTTTAGTCTCTTCGTTCGCGGACTTAGAGATAGTTAACGGTCACGCTCATTGGCTGTCTCGCAAATTTATTCGCGACATTCTCGTTAAATTATAGCGCCAGAGATCGAGATGGACAACGATGATTCCGATTTAATTAATTACTGCCACGAGCAGAACCGCTACTCGCGAAACCGCCGCATTCGAATTCCTCGAATCGACTGTCTTTCCACCGAAATTGATTCTCGACGATAACGATTGTTTGCGGCCGAACCCGATAAGATTGAGCCGCATGTTAAACGGAAAGGTCTCGTCCCCGCGCCGATTGCGAAATATTTCTGGCGTACTTTAGTAGACAGGTCGTACGAAAGTTTGTGGTGCATTATTTACTAAAACGTAGGGAACGAAACGCAGCGATCCTATCGTAGACCGTTTAGCGTTGCCAACAGGGAATGTACGTTCCGACGATAAGATCGCTTATTTGATTTACGCTCCGAGTATGTTGCCAACCCCTTCTGAACGCCCCATCAAATATTTGCTGTCTTCGCTCGTGGTGGAATTACATTGCAATCACGGTGCATCTGATTCATCCTGCAGCCAGACCAACAACCTCGTCCATCGACGAATCTGCGATGTAGTTACATGCGATGATACTTCCTCTCCTCTGTTTTAATCTTTTTCGTTTGGCAAATCTCTGCACTATGGATGCCAAAAGATCAATCCTTTTGTCAGCATTGTTGTCTCGAGCCGTGACAACATACCGAACTTCGGATATATTCGATAAATCACTGTTCACGTTCATCGTTTGCCAGATTTGGAAAACAGTTACTTTCTCAAAATATCTACATTCAGACCTCCAAATGTTATATGTACGTAGCTTTTTATTAACATCGCCGCGATACCAGTTTTCTGCGAGCATCGAAAACGCGGAGACAACAAAATTCCTCTAACGGATAACGTATTCGAATTATCTCGTCAAACTCGAAACGATCCCTCAGGCTGGTCGATCCGACGCAAACTGGGAATATCCAGGGCTAATGAGTCTGGCCCGGTATCCACGCCCTGCAACATTCAACTTCACGGATGTGTCACGTCCCGCGATGATGTACGGCCGTTTAATGACCCGGTTTTCGTCCTAGAGGGTGCTTTTTGCCCACCACCGGCAAGGGTTGCGCGGTGTGGGAACGTGGCCGGGTGAAAAGTCAGCGACACGCGTTTTTCGTCGACAGGGACACAGGCACCGTTCTTCCCTCGTCCTCCTTCTTCGACATGCAGATGACAGCGTTTCGTCGAGCCGTGCCTGTACGTCCTGAATCTTCGAGCTTTTCCCATTAGCCTTAATGGACGCAGATTAAGCCACGTCGAACCGCGAATGCAATGATTTAATGACTGGGCCGCGCCCCGGCCTCTCTTTCGCGGCTAGGCGAATGCTTTTACGGATAACGCGTGTCGACGTCGAAAAGGTCAACCTGGCCACGTTACGTGCAATTTATAGGTCGATCGTTTAGCGAACTCTCGCGTGATCACGTGGTCCACTGCTAAGAAGATCAAAAGCGTTTCTCAAGTTTTTACTCGAGTAATGGACTCACGGACGTTATTATCGAAATTGTGCTTCTCGCGATAAGCGGGTATGCATCGTGTATCTGCGTTTAGTTACTCGGTCGAATATAAGCACCTAACTCTTACACATAATAATATCTGAGAAACGGGGCATTCTCTCGACACTGTCGCAAACGAACGATAAAGGTTCGTTGTAACGATACTACGTACAAGAGTCGAGCAGATCGAGCTCCATCATTCGGTTTAGTAAATTCTCCCGAGTTAGCCATAACAGTAAGTCGAAGAGTAATCTCGGTGGACGATAATTCAACGTCGACTGACTTTAATCGCGGGCCACAGGGGCTACTTTGTGTACGTGTGTCCCGAGATGAATTTAAACGATCGTATGACAAAGTAGCGGACCGTGTATCATTTTATATAAACTCGGTTACGTTCACCGTGATACGGCGAGCAACAGAGAAAGCAGACAAGTTGTATAATCTCTCTTTTCGGTGTGCGTCGAGTCTGTAGACAGACGCGTTTTGCACGAGTGCACCTATGTACGATTGCTCGCGTATCCGCGGGCATTTTCTCCGCTGTTCGGTGTTCTTAACACGCGTAAAGATACGAGTGTAACGCGCACACGCACACGCTGCCATCGCCGAGTTTACGATCGATCTGTCACGTCGCTAGCAACCGGTAATAAAGTTGGATGTGGAACAACCGGCTGTCACCAGGTTCGCGCAAAACTTCCTCGCGTCTCGTAGCTCGTCTCTCTGAACGCTTCTAAAAGCTTAACGCGACGACATCGCGTGTGTACACGCTCATCGTGTAAACTGCCGAGTGAAAATCCTTTCTCGTGTACTCTCTTACCTACCAGTCTCTCTTCGGTCTGTTACGATTGTGCGTCGACGATCGAGAGAATCCGCTTGTTTCCAGCCGCTTTCTACCACAGATTCATTTGCCGCTGCGACAATTCGCGCGATGAAAAGGTTGCGAGTCTCGGCAAACCAGAACGATACGATCGCGCTGCCGAGAGTGTTAATTTTAACTCTTTAGCTGCCGGAGATTGCCACATAAACTGCGCGTTGCATGTAGCAAATTTGTTGCGGGACTATTTATTGGTAATTGATGCGGGGATTGTTTGTTCTGGGAAAAGATGGAAGATGTAGTTAGGAAAGTTAATAAGGTATTAACGTTATATAGTAACGCCGTTTCGTGTCTCGCGAAATTTACCGTAGAAAGCGGCTATTACGCTATAAACCGAGAGTTCTAGGGATTCGGAGCTGGGTTGGGCAAAAACTAACCCGATCGGTAATTGGCGGTTATAACTAGCGTGCCATGGCGTCCACTATTAGACCGGCATGATTGACTCGATTATCGTGAATCGCCAAGTAATTACACACCTCGAACGTGTATCTACACACACGATTAAGCGCAGCATACAAATTACATCCTATCGCGTTGGGATTCGAGACAAAAAGGGATTATAAGTATGAGTTAGAAATAATTGTACGCTCATCGTATTTCACGCAGTCGTAAGTTCCAATTACAACCACACGCGAATGAAACATCGATCAGATCAAGAGCAGCGTATAAATCGTGATACTGGAGATGTTCCGAATGGATAACGAAAGACAATCGAAGGAGGATGGACGGACGAAAGGGGCCGCGGTAGGTTGGCGTGGCTTCGCGGTTGATTAAACTGAAACGCGAGCACATGGCTGGAAATTGTAGGCGAGTGAACGTCGACGTCGGCCCGTGTGCGTGCACACGTATCTACGAGGGGAAAAGATGGCGCCGTCACCGAAATGGCTGCACCTTTGCGTTGATAAAGCAGGCCGAAGCCCGCGACCCTACCTGAAAAGGTGCGCGCCAACGACAGAGCGAGACGGGGAGACGTAACGAGCAGCCGACAGAGAGGGAAAGAAAGAAGTCGGATATCACCCCTAGTTACGAGTGGTAACGAGGGGCGGAGTCGCTCGAACCGCACACCTGCCTCGGTTTCAAACTGGCCATGGTCACTCATCCCCGTTTTTATCCCCTTAAAGGCTACGCCATGACAAACGCGTTCACGTTAACCGCCGGGTAGTTGAGGGTCGCGAGAAATGGCCGTTTCGATGGACTTTAATGGTTGATACCCTGTATACGTCCCTTTCCGCACGGGAGATGATTGTTCGGTATCGTTCGACATAAAATTCCATCTGCTATCGACACATTAGCGGCGACTAACGCACATTTTATGACATACAGTAGCTTTCAGTAATTTCCTGCGTTATCGTAGAATATAGGGTTACAAAAAACAAGAAATGAATTACATAATTTATTGTACCGATCCGACTTATGTAGACACCCCATAGAAAAAAAGTAGACAAAGTCGTTTAAACGTTCAGGAAAGTTTTACCGAGCAGAGAGTTAAAACGAGGCGTAAAAAGAGAGATGAGCCCCTATCACAGTTATATAAAATGCAATTTGTACCGCGAACTCGCGAGACGCGTCTATAGAAGAGCGAAGGTATTCGTGGCAGAGTCGACGTTGACGATATAGTATCCTTGCAACCATAGCAAAGGCCGTGCGGGAGATACAGATTGAGAGAAGCAGAGGAAACAGAAGGAAAAAAATCCGCGCGATGGGACGAGGAAAAGGAAACAGAGAAACGGAGGGAGGGTGGACGCGGAAGAGGCGGGGAGATAGAGGATCCACCGAGGGGGTGGCAGAGAGGACGGAATCGGTAGAAAGCAGCAGTTTCCGCTCTCGGGGGCGGTTGGCTGTTATCATGAGAAACAAGCTTCCACTCTGATTTTTTAATCCGATCCGCACCCCCTGCCACTGGCTGAATTTTAAAATAACTGCAGAACGCCATTTGCTCCTCGCAAACAGACCGGGGTTAAGCCATCCTCTCTCTTCTCCTTCTCTTTTTCCATCTTCCTGTTCCACCCTGCGTTTCATCGGTTTCTCTCTCCTTCTCGATCCTTCGCTCTCTTTGCGCCCGTTTACTTCGACCCTCCACTCTGGACGGATAAGAGAACGAGAGACAGAGAGAATCGAGAAAAACGTGCGCGCGTGTGTACGCGTGTGAGCGATCCTGCTCGTCTACACGCTCTCTGGAAGCGGCTGATGCCAAATTGAAATGTTTAGCGCCTCGTTTCAGCTGCTGCGAATCCCGCGTGTAGCCTCGCGAGCGACGAAGACAGACAGAGCCGCGAAGGGAACAACCGGGATAGAAAGATAGGGGGAGAAAGAGCCAGGAGATACCGCGTGTAGGCCTGCCTCGGGGAAGGGTAGATAAGTGACAGTTTTATTAATTTCCCATCTCCTCCCGTCACCGCCACCCTCTCCAGCCCTCGGGATCCGCCGCCAACACCGGGAACGTCAGTCGCGCACGTCCACACACGCTTCATCCCCTCGCGTGTCCTCTCTGCCTTGCTCCCGTCGAAACGAAAAAGCCTGAGAATAAAACTCGATAATGGTGGCCTTCCGTCACGCTGCGACCTTGCAGACAATGGTGTACTTTGGAGCCGACAATAAGTCGTTGGAGGATTATTTCGGAAGCTGCGTATACCGCTTTGTTCGCTAAAAGTATTCGCAAAATTCGAGCCTGTCGCCTGTAACGACGGTTTCGCATCGGTCTTGGGTTGAGATAAAACTGTCGGGTAACGGCGCTTCTGTTGGAAAAGAAGGGTAAGCAAGAAGAGGGAGGAAATCGCGGGAAGACCGCAACGAGCAAGGGAGGATAGGGTGAAATAAGGTAAAAAGTAAGAAGCGAGCGGAAGAGAGAGAGACAGAAAAAGGGAGTAAGCATCTCCCGAGTCTCGGTCCACGGCTGGAAAATTTAATTTCGATCCCGTCGATTCAGCAGTTATACCGAAGTTTAATCTTTGATAAGGGTTAGTCTTTTAGTAATGGGATCCCAGGGGGTCGGTCGCTTCGGTCCGACTCGGTGAGACGCACGGGAGAGCGAGGAGGGGACAGGCCGCTCTCTCGACTCCTTTCCACTCCACTCCTCCTCTGGATGGAAGGAAGGAGCTTAAACCGTTAGATAGAGATCTGCTCTTGGGATGAAAGTAGTAGCTACCCGCTTATATCGTTCCTCTAACCGAGCAGGACTCGGACTTTTATACCGAGCTCTGGGGAAGGCGTAACGAGCCTCACGATTGGATAAGTTTCCCAACACGAGGATCCATCGGAGGCTTTGCTTTCTTCTTCCTCTTATTCTTTGCCCCGCTCTTTGGCTGAGCTGTCTCTTATCCAGTTTGCTGGTATAACGTATCGCGACTTGTGTTCGTCCCCGACCGCGTTATATCCGGGTCACGTGCATCCTACGACGATGAAAACTACAAACGTCGAAGGACTTAATAAAAGGATCAACCGCTTCGAGTCTAGCGGTTCCATTCGGAAACTTTCTTACACTTCGATGTCTCTTAACGAAGCAGAAAGATGCCCGAGATTACACGTCCAAGACGATCACGGACTTGTCATGTAACGGGTGCCTAACTTGTTTTGTTACAGTTATGGCATGGATCTGAACGGTGCGAGACGGAAGAACGCGACGCGAGAGACCACGAGTACTCTGAAGGCGTGGCTGAACGAACACAAGAAGAATCCTTATCCGACAAAAGGTGAGAAGATCATGCTGGCCATCATCACGAAGATGACTCTGACGCAGGTGTCCACGTGGTTCGCGAACGCGCGGAGGCGTCTCAAGAAGGAGAACAAGATGACGTGGGAGCCGAGAAACAGGGTCGAGGACGAGGACAACAACAACGAGGACGACGATAGCGGGAGGAAGAGCGTCGATGAGAAAGATCGGCTAGGTAAGCGCCAATTAGAAACAATCCATCTTTATCAATTTTCGTCTCTCGTATTCCTGCATTCCTGCTCGCGTGACCTTTTCCTCGTCAAAGACAGAACCCTCTCTGCTTCAGACTCGAAGGATTCGGGTACCGGGTCGAGCGAGGACGGCGAACGGCCGGCGCACCGGATGGACCTTCTCCACAGTACTAGTGGAGGGTCCACCGGGGTCCAGGGCAGAACGGAGAGCGAGTGGAGCGAGTCACGGGC